AGAGAGATCATCATGGCATTGATTATCAGGAGACCTTCGCACCCGTGGCTAAAATGAATTCAGTCAGAATACTTCTCTCTCTAGCAAGCTAATCTAGATTGGCCGCTTATCAGTTTGATGTCAAAGAATGCTTTTCTCCATGGTGACTCGAAGAAGAAAGTTATATGGACATTCCTCCGGTTTTTGAGGACCATCAAAGCAGAAGGCAAAGTATGCAAACTTCGAAGGTCATGTATATGGTCTCAAACAGTCTCCAAGGGCTTGGTTTGAGAGATTCACTCAGGCTATGTTTAAATATGGCTTCAAACAAAGTCAGGCAGATCACACATTGTTTTGTGAAACATTCCTCACACGTAAAGACTACAGCACTTATTGTTTATGTAGATGACATAGTTCTTACAGGCAATGATAGTGGGGAAATACCTCTGTTGAAGCAATATTTAGCTTAAAGAGTTTGAAATCAAAGACTTGGGCAGCTTGACGTATTTTCTGGGAATTGAAAGTTGCTCGCTCTAAGAATGGGATATTTATCTCACAGAGAAAATATGTGCTTGACCTGTTGAAGGAAACTGGGATGCTTGGCTGCAAGGCATGTGCCACCCCCCTGGAACCCAATCAGAAATTAGGGATGATGAAGGAGGAGAAGTTGTGGATAGGGGGAGCTATCAACGATTAGTGGGTAAGCTCATTTACTTATCTCACTCCCGTCTGATATTGCTGTTGCTGTCAGTATGTTAGTCAGTTTATGGCTCCTCATCAGATTCACCTTGAGGCTGTCATGAGAATCTTGAGGTATTTGAAGTCTGCTCCTGGAAAGGGTCTGTATTTTTCAAAGTATGATCATCTTCGTGTAGAAGCCTATACAGATGCTGACTGGGCTGGGTCAGTAACCGATAGGAGATCAACTTCAGGGTATTGCACATTTGTTGGCGCAACCTAGTTACTTGGAGGAGTAAAGAACAGAATGTGGTTGCCAGGTCAAGCGCAGAAGCTGAGTTTAGAGCTATGGCACAAGGTGTGTGTGAACTTTTATGGATCAAATTATTGTTGCGTGATCTAGGTATTGATCAAACGGACTCCATGCGGTTATACTGTGATAATAAGGCCGCCATCAACATCGCTCACAATCCAGTTCAACATGACAGGACAAAACATGTTCGAGAATTAAAATTATATATATATATATATGTATATATGCATGAAATGTATTTGAAAATATAGATTTAATATATTATTTAAAAATTGAATTTACAGTCATATCTTTATTTCTATTTTTTTTTTTTTTTTTTGGTTTTCTTTTGTTTTTTTTTTTTTTTGTTTTTTTTTTTTATATATATATTTATATTGATTTTATGTATACATGTATTTATATATAAATATATATATCAGGTTATATATATATATATTTATAGATAAATATATATCAAGGTGTGAGATACCAGAGTGATGAAGACGACCGAGAGATGAGGACGACGAGGGCGATGACGGCTGGAGGAGATGACGGCTGGGGATGAGACGAAGACGAAGACGAGCTGAGGAGTCAAAGACGAAGCAGACGAGCTGAGGGACGAAGACGAAGCAAATGAAGACGAAGCAGACGAAGACGAAGACGAAGAGGACGGCTGGAGGAGATCAACCCAGCAGATGATCCAACTAGGTACGTTTTGAACCCTAACCCTAGATGTGTAGCTCTGATACCATGATGCTTGGGTAACCAGCTTGGGGAATGATAGAATATCACCCCCTATTTATAAATGAAGATTTAGGGTTTACAAGAAAGGCAATTACAAGATGATCCCTGAGTGCTATCCCTGAGTGCATAAAATGATTACAGACAGACCCTAGTGTACCTTTCGGCTAATATAATACGCTAACAAGAGTAATGCCTGCATCAATTCTAACTTTTAGGAAGCTGACATCAACAAAGAAAATAAGTGAAGTAAACATAAGAAAATGATAAACAATTGAAATTTTGTATATGTACAATATTGAGTCATCCTCAGCCATGCCAGAAGTCATACTGACTCCAACTCAACTCAACAACCTGTTGTTCCAATTATTTAGGGTTAGATACATGAATCAATTTCCACTAGTTGGCTCCATTTGAAGTCATATCATCAGTTAAGTTTATGGAAATCATCCTTTCTTAACACCTCAACCCATGTTCTCCTTGTGTTTATTTCTTTTAAGAGGATGTGCAACTTGGAGTAAGGCAAAAGACAAATGTTCTTCATGTTTTCTAGCAACAATGCTACAGACACTGAGGGCCAAACACAGAAACTGTTCCACCAGACGACCAGCTAGATGACCGCTCGAACGACCGGAAGACACCATGACAGCCGCGGTCAACAAGCTCTGGCCGGTCGTCCAGATGCACAGTTTCTGTGTTCGGATCTATGTTTGGTCGTCTGTGCGCCTAGACATTTTGCGTTTTCTATTGTATTCACCATATACATATAAAACTAAATCGAAAGGTTTTAAGGTTATCAGGGTAGCCATGCATTATGGTATATAATTGTTAGATAGCTTGACATACATTGTTCAGTCCATGTCCTAACAGCTTAGGCTTTTGGGAAATTTGGTAACTTAACATGGTATTAGAGCTCTAGTTGAGAGAGATCCTGGGTTCAAGTCTCTCCGTTTGCATTTGGAATTATGTCCCCATTTGGTTTTTTCCTCTCTATTTGGTTGTTTGTTTCTCCTTCTGTTTGGTTCTTTGTTTGTCTCTCTACATGCAAGACCAATTTGCACATGAGGGAGGGTGTTAGATAACTTGATATACATTGTTGGGGTTCTTTGTTTGTCTCTCCACATGCAAGACCGATTGGCACATAGGGAGGGTGTTAGATAACTTGAGATACATTGTTGGGCCCATTTCCTAACAGCTTAGGCTTTTGGGGAAATTGGTGACAATAATGTAAGCTATCCAAAGCACATTTACTGTAATTTGCTTAGCTAAAATGCAATGTGCTTCGATGAATAAGTGGCAGAGAACAAAAGATGGATTGAAACTATTAGACTTGTCCCACATTATCTCTCTAAACCAACCAAGCTTGGTTAATATACTTGAGAGGCCCCTCCACTCATTGCAAATTGGCTTTGAGTAAGACACATTAACATAGTATCAAAGATGGGTATTGGGGGGTAAGTCTCGGCCCAAAGTCTAATCTCTCCCCTCTCATCTCTCTATCACCTCCACATGTTATCCGGGTTGCATGTGCGGGGAAGTGTTAGACTTGTCACACATCATCTCTCTAAACCACCCAAGCTTGGTTAATATACTTGAGAGGCCCCTCTACTCATTGCCAAGTGGTTTTGAGCTGAATGCTTTAACAGAAACAATTTCATTCACCCAAAATTGAGAACATTATATGATAGTTGACTGCAATGTTTCAGTTGTCTACAGCAAAGACCAAGGAAACACCAGAAAGGAATGAAATATTTCAAGTTGAATGGATTCAAAAGACGAGGAGAAGGCTAAACACATGATTTAGGCTGTGAGAAGAGGCCTGGTCACTAATCCATTATGACGCCACAAAATAAAAGCCCCTAGATAAAGCTAAATGGAGGAAAAGGACCCCTGTAGCATACTTTAAATAGTTCAAAGAATTTTTGTTAAGTTGTCTATTTGTACGTGACTGCAGGCATCCATGTTTGTTGAGAGAGAGAGAGAGAGAGAGAGACGTACAATGTTTCCAAAGACTGCAAGGTTGAAAACCACGAAGGAAAATCTGATTTGTCAAAAGTATTATTGCTTAAATCCCTACAAATAATAATTTGGTCAAAGTAGCATATATTAAACATAATTATGGAAACAAGATGATAGTGGAAAAAGTGCATCTGCTTCAGAAGGAGGAGAACAAGGCATTAACAAAACAAGGCATTAACAAGACATCCATTAATAAAATGCTTAAGAATCATGATGACTTTTCCTAAGTTAGCAAGATTGTTAGTACTTACACATAGCTGAGAGAATTCAAGCCCGTCAGATCGGGCAAGGGGCCAGTCAGTTGATTGTTCGACAAGAACCTGAAAGTGAAAAATCAAAAGCCTCTCATAGTAAAGGCTGTAAAGCTGAAAACCTAATGCAGGATAAGCTAACTTCCTGGAAACAAGTATAGAAGCTTCTTTTTTCTTTTTGGCAAAGAAGTGTAGAAGCTTAAATTGGCAAAGTGCTTTTCTTTTTGTCTGCCTGAGCTCATTAAATTTACAAGGTGTTGAGGTTCGATGGGATTGTCTGCCAATGAGTTTCTATCAAGGTGGACATTGCCAATCCTATAACACTCAAATCAGGTATTCACAGCTAGCAAGTAATTTACAAGGTGTTGAGGTTCGATGGGATAGTTTGCCAATGAGTTTCTATCAAGGTGGGCATTGCCAATCCTATAATACTCAAATCCAAAAATTTAATGGTTATTCACAGCTAGCAAGTATAATGTTATGATTTTAATTAGGTATGTGATGGAGATACTCACAATATCTCCAGAGTCTGCACTAGTCCTAGCATTGAAGGGATCTTGCCACTGAGTGCGTTGTTGTTGAAAAGCCTGCTCATATTAATTCACAAGAAGACATTGAAATTAATGCCCAGATTGAGAGAAATGAGCTGCCCAGAAATTAAATCCAACATTCCTCATTGTATCAAAAAGAAAAAAGAAAAAAGAAAATATCCCAGATTAAGATTTCAAGCTCAGCACGATGAAGCCACATCGAGGGGCCAAAGGTCCGCCCATATCAAAAGACGAGTTCCAACAAACCAAGCTCTCACCAGTTGAAAGCAAAATTGAGTGGGAGACTTGTCATTATATACAAATTCATTCAAATGTATGTTTAAAATCTTATGCTCGTAACATATGTTGTTCTCTTTTTCACCATGAAAGCTTGTCGCTTATACTTGCCATATGGGTAAGCAACTGCATATATGCATAACCTGTTGTTCTGTCATTCAAGTGCATACCAGAGACTCGTAAATAAATAGCTGGTTCAAAGGAACTCACACATGTATCAGAGACATATTTGATTTGAAAAGCTGAGATGGGATTTCACCAGAGAGCTGATTGCTTCCACAATGACTGAATAGTATAAAGAATCTAAGGTCATTAGTGTTTGGAAATAAGCAACAAATAGATCAAACTAGCCAGCTTAAATACAGACTTACAGGGGGGACAGGGATAGTTAGCTTAAACACACAGAGAGAGAGAGAGAGAGAGAGAGAGACATACAAGTGCTTTGTATTAACCAGCATATCCAGACCAGGTGAGACAGGGATAGTTCCAGAAAGCTTATTGACACTCAGATCCAGCCAATAAAGATTAAAGAGATTACCAATTGAAGGTGGAATTGGTCCACTGAAGCTGTTGGATGACAGAGTCCTGTAGAATACCGAGTGAAATAATTGAAATATAGGCCAAGGCATGCAACTGCACAATAAAATCTAAGCCATACTAGAACATTCAGTACATGCATAGTTCAGTAAAAAATTTGTGGATGAAAACATGATGATATGAATTAAAAGATTGGATTTTCTGATGCAAGATTTAAAGGACCCAAAAAATGATCCCACACAAATTTTTCTCCTCTTTTAAAGCATGGAGGAGTGAACAACTGATGTAGCTAGAACTAGTATGGTTGTTATGTTTAGCAGTTGGGTCTTTATCCTATAAATAGATGGTTAGGCCCTCTAGTATTCATTTGATGATATTGAATATTTCAGAGCTTGAGAGCTCTTGTACCCATTTTGGGATTCTCTCTCTCTAATGAAATCCATTTCTTGATTTGGTTCCATCATTTTGGTATCAAACAAGAACTTGACCTGTCTTTTTTTTGCCATCTGATCATCAAATCCGACGGATTGAAGAAGAACCATTGTTCGTTTCTAGTTTGCAACACCTGGGTAATTCATTTCGACCCTAGTCAATTGCGACCTGAGTTCGCAATCGTCTGGATAGTCATGACCTGGCCAGATTTGAGTTCGTGACCTTTCTTTTTTTTTTTTTTTGCTACTGGAATTGATTTTGCGAACTGGTTGTCCGTGGGTTGATTCTTGATCGTGATTCAACTACATCGACTTTGAATCCAGTTTTCGTCACAGTTCGAACTTGTAATGCAATCGATCGAGATAGAATCAACTCGTGATTGGACTTCACACCTGCGATTGGTTTTTGCAGGTCTGGTCGATGGAATTCGCAGGTTTGGATCGACTACGTCTGGATATTGCGAGGGTGATTTGGGTCTAATTCTTGTTCGAGTTTGGATCTGTTTTTTTGGCACCTGATTGAGGTAACTGCTTCGATCTCCTTTCATTTCTTGATTTTGATTCTTGATTCTGAATTGGACTGGTTTCATTCTCTTGAGTTAGGAATCCTGAAATTTGCAATTGATATTGGGGCGTTCACTATTGCTTGTGTATGGCTCAAAGAGGTAGAGGTCAAAGGGGTGGCCGTGCTAGGGCTTATGCTCTGAATTTAGGTGAAGAAATTGAGATGAATCCCTCAATTGAAAGGAACATTGAAAGCCAAAACCAAAGGAATGAGATTGAAAAGTCGAGTTCACAAACGGCTAACTTAGTGGGAAAAGTGTAACACTTGCAACTTCTTTTCAAAGGTAGTAATGGTTCCAAGGATCATCAAGTTGATGATTCCTTCGGTACTCAGTTTAGGCATAGAGCATATTTACATGTGTTTGATTCTAAATGGAAGCACACCGTTTAGTGTTTCTTGAATTCCATGGAAGCTACATTCCTGATGTGATCGAGGAATGGTTGAATATAATTGAGAGTCATTTGGAGTGTTACGTTGTGTCGGAAGCAAGAAAGGTGAAATTGATCTCTTGAAGCCTCAAAGTCGTGCCTCTGATTGGTGGAAACAATTACAAGTTGGTAGGCAAAGAAAATGTTAGAGAGTGGAAGATGAGGAAGAAGCTCAAGGAGCACTTCTCGCCTTCCACCTTTGTTGGTTGAGAAGCAACAAAAGGACATTTCAAGTTCCAGACATTAATACCAAAAAGGCTTTGCAATCAGACAACCATTCTATGATTATATCCAAGTTAGTTATTCAACTAGTGTTGGAAGGAAAGAGACTTTTGATGATGGATATCATCATAAGATGCTCTTTAGTATACAATTCAATACGAGTTTCTACAAAAACGATTCGAATCGTCTTGTTGAATCGGAAATTGAGTGAATTGTCTGATTCAATTTACGATTCAGTTCTATTTCTATTTTTGTTTACATAATGCATGAAATAACATAGTTTTCACCAAACTATGAAGATATATAAAAGAGATTAATTAGTTATATTGTATACATGATTTTATATGTATGTATGTTTTATATGTATGTATGTATATAGATATAATTTAGTCATATTGATAATATACTTTATTTTAAACACTATATATATTTTCATATGTATTTTAATATATAGAATTATATATTATATTAAACAAAATGAATCTTACGATTCGATTCATGATTTGACAACAATGTTTGTGATTCCAATCTTTGATCAAGATGTGGAACAAGATTCTGGTCAAGATGTTGCCATCTTTGACGACGATAGTGAGGCGTTGGCTTATGAGGAAGTTGATGTTTGTAAATATGAAGGAGCTCCAATCTTTGACCAGTATGATGATAAAGATGACTTTCTTGTGGAGAATGAAGGTGTCATAGAAGATGAAGAAAGTTTTGTAGATGAAGCAAGTTTTGCTAAACTTACATTGCTTCCCATGATGGAAGTGGTTTTTAATCCCAACTTCTATCCCTTTTCTAGATTCCAAGAAAATTATGGTGGATGGTCATGACATTGAAGTTTCTTGGGTGTTCAATGAACTTTGCTCCCAAGAAATGCCTCTTATGCTTTTGTGTTGATTCGGTACCCAACCAAGCTTCATGGAGGAAGCATGCTTTTATTTTGGGCCCATGCGAGAAGCGTTAGCTTGATGACATTTTGCTTTCAAAACGGCATGCTACATGCGTGGCTTATTCACACCTCAACATGGCTTTGGTTGATGTCCATAAATGAGAACTCGTTTTGATGGAAGGATGTTTGCTAGGATGATTTTGAATAAGGACTTACAACTACTTTGTCTTGTTTGCCATTGCATGTCCATCATTCCATAAGTCATTGTTTTGAGTCATTTTGTTGATTTTGTTGCCTTGAGTCATTTTGTTGTAATCCCAACTTGAGGACAAGTTGTTTTCTTCAGAAAGGAAGTTTCATGTAGTTAGAAGTAGTATGGTTATGTTTAGCACCACAAGAGTTAGTTAGAGTTGGGTCTTTATCCTATAAATAGGTGGTTAGGCTCCTCTAAAAAGAATGAAAAGAATTATTTAACTTACACATGAATGAGATAGAGGTCGTGTATATATAATAGATTCATGATACAATTTAAGAAACGATATAAATAAGGAAACAATACTAAATCAGTGATTGATACAATCACGGATTATATACATAATACTAAAAATAAAAAGATTCTATGTACTCTAATTTTTATAGTCAACACTCTCCCTCAAGCTAGTGTGAAGATATTTAACAATCGCAACTTGCCAATGAATGACTGGAAGAAGCCGGACAAAACTCAACGGCTAATCCAAATAAATACTACCAAATAAATCTGGTAGTCTACTAAATAAAAAAGGCCAAAAAAGTGCTTAATACATCAGCACCATACCCTAGAAAGGGGGGGGAAACAGGGACTGAGCTGCCCTAGAAGAAACTAACCGGAACCAATATCGGGACAGTTTAAAAGGTCATGTCGAACCGATGTAGGAACTAACCGAAATCAATATCGGGACAGTTTAAGGGGCCATGTCGGACCGTTGTAGAGACTAACCAGAATCAATGTCGAGACAGTTTAAAGGGGTCATGCCGGACCGATGTAGAGAACTGGATGTTGAATTAGCAAGCGTGGCACACATAACTTATGACGTGGTGTTGAACGATGGTGGCAACAGATGACAGAGTGCGCCAAGGGGCGGCTTATTAGAAAGTGTGCCAGGGGGGAAAACTTAGGTGTTGCGCCAAGAAGGCGACTTGGGTTGTGCGCTAGAAGAGGCGACTTAGGTTATGCACCATGATATAGGTATAATGCCCCCTTAAACTCAAATAAATTTGAAGATAGAAACCTAACTGCCCTAGAAGAAACTGATCGGAATCAATATCGGGACAGTTTAAAAGATCATGTTGGACCGATGTAGGAACTAACCGAAATCAATATCGGGACAGTTTAAGGGGCCATGTCAGACCGTTGTAGAGACTAACCAGAATCAATGTCGAGACAGTTTAAAGGGGTCTTGCCGGACCGATGTAGAGAACTGGATGTTGAATTAGCAAGCGTGGCACACATAACTTATGACGTGGTGTTGAACGATGGTGGCAACAGATGACGGAGTGCACCAAGGGGCGGCTTATTAGAAAGTGTGCCGGGGGGGGCGGCTTAGGTGTTGCGCCAAGAAGGCGACTTGGGTTGTGCGCTAGAAGAGGCGACTTAGGTTATGCACCAGATAGGGCGACTTAAGTGGTTCACATGGTATATCACCATGCTCACCATGATATAGGTATAATGCCCCCTTAAACTCAAATAAATTTGAAGATAGAAACCTACTTGGGGTTGAAACAGAGGGAAAGACAAAGTGGAGCAGAAACACACAGAAAAATGGATTGCGAGTAAAAAAAAATATGATAGAGATATTTAGGATAGGAATAACACCTAACCCACTATCACCTCCACTACACCTACTACCACATTTTCTTCTATATATAGATTGTATAGGAATTGTAATTAATCAATCTTGTAATACATCAAGATATCCATCAATAATACAATTTATTCTCTTTCTCTCTCTATCAATATTTCTAACAGATAGAGATATTTAGGATAGGAATAAACTAGTGAATAGAGGAAAAGATCACCACGAAGTGATACTGAGAGAAAATATGGTAATGGAATGGGTTAAGGTCCGACCGGCGGCCAAGGCAAGGCTGTTGCCCGCTGATGAAGCAAAATTACTAGGTACTTAACCTAGCTCTGATACCAAAAAGAATGAAAAGAATTACTTGGCTTACACATGAATTATGAAGCACAGGTACGAGTACGATACTGGTATGTCGATACGGTAAAATTCAAAAATAGTAGGGTACAGGTACAGCTTGGTCCGTTTGTAAAAAAATATTTATTTTTAATTTAGAGTAACACAAAAATTAATTAAATGGTTTAATTTGTTAAAATCCAACGTATAATTAACATTTAATGCCAAAAGTAAAGGTATAAATCAAAATTAAATGTCAATATATTAAATAACTTACAAACCATAGTTTAATTTTAAAATCATGCTAAGCATAAAACTAAAAATAAAAAAGAAGTCTAGTGAAAAGAGTTTTATCTTTGTAGTAGAAGAAAATATTGTTTTAATCGAGGTACGGTACGGTGTGGGTATATACTAGGTACGTCTGGGTAAGCCAAAAATTAAGAAGAAAAAATTTGGATACGTGTTTCGTATACCCGGAACATATGCAGAAGTACCATACGAGGTACTATACGTCAGTAAGTACCCGGTACAGGTACGACATGTTTTTTGAAGTACCCATGCTTCATAGCACGTGAATGAGGTAGAGGCCATGTATATATAATAGATTCATGATACAATTTAGGAAACAATATAAATAAGGAAACAATACTAAATCAGTGATTGACACAATTACAGATTATATACATAATACTAAAAATAAATAGCTTTCATATACTCTAATTTCTATATTCAACAGTATTCAGGTAATGATATTTTGATATTGAATATTTCAAAGGTTGAGAGCTCTTGTACTCTCTAATGAAATCCATTTCTTGATTTAGTTCCACAATAGAGAGGTCAAAGGGTGTGGGAGCATTTGTTCTTAAAGGCCATGTTTAGTTCACAAGACTAATAGTGAAGGTATTAATAATTCCATCAAATTAGTGTGGTATTCACTATCCAATTTGATTAGTAGGATAAATTATCCCTTTGTCCATTGTTTGATTTGCATTGAATAGGAAAACATATGAAGGTAAAAGAGTCTTTTTATTTTATTTCCCAACTCAGAATATATAATCTCACCCCTACTCCATTACTAATAATTCTACAAATTTGTTGGATTAATTATCCATTGGATTAATAATCCTGAAACAAAATTTCAAAACAAACACAAGATTATTGGGCTCACGGATTAATAATACCAATCTCATGCTCTAACCTGTCAATCAAACATGCCCAAAAGATGCAAATTTTAGAATTTATAGGAAGCCCAAATAATACATATGACCTAAATGATTTGTGGAAAGGAATATAACATTTTGCAATACTATCAAATTATCAATGAAATTTTTTTTGTAGTAGTATGGAAAGAGCAGTCAATCATTGTGTCAAAAGTATGTGAAACGTTGTAGTTAGTGTCCTTCACATTTTACTGATCATGCCAATTACTCGAATGCATTGTTGTCAAATCGTGAATTGTAAGATTTATTTTATTTAACATAATATAATATATAATTTAGATATGTATATATATATATATATAAATACACAGTGTTTAAAATGAAATAAATATCATTATAACTAAATAGTATATAAGTATATATATCTTAAACCACGTATATCAGTATAATTGGTTGATTTCTTTTCTTCTTCTTCTTTTTTCCTATCTTTCTTTTTTTTTAAAACGATGTCATTTCATGCATTATGCAAGCAGAACTGTATCGCTTGAATAGCAGTGAATCGCAATTGAATCGTAAGATTCACTCAATTTAAGGTTCAACTACACATGAAATCATGAATTGTAAAATTCTAACAACCGGGGACAAAACAATTTATCTGATAACTTGAACTTATACCGAGTTAATTTATATTTATGTCATTCCATCATTATGTCAAAGAATGGAATCATGTCACAAGGAATGTGAGCCTAATAATTGCTAATACCTCCATATTAAGCTTTCACATATATTGATTTTCATAGTAAACAGAAATAACAAAGTCCAAATCCTTACAAAATGCGTAGCTGCTGCAGAGAACCTATTGTCTCTGGAATTGGACCACTGAAACTGCAACTAACCAGCATTCTGAGATGCAAGTAGAAGTAATTGTTTTGTAACGAGGTATTGACCTTAGTAATCAATAGATTAGGCATAGTATAACAACAATCAAAAATTTCTTACAGGTTTGATAACTTGGTCAAATTTCCAATTGATCGAGGAAGAGATCCTGTCAAACCGTTGTTGTATGATAGATCCCTATATGCACAAGCTGATAGTCAGAAGTTACTTTTAACAATTCTTATGTGGAAGTAAAGAGGAGAATAAACAAAGACAATTCCAAACAGCTATTATTAATAAAGTAGGGAACACTGTCTAGGTAGTGTTTTATACCACATCAATCAGGCATTTAAGTGAAATATGAACCGCGACACCAATCTAGTGAGTGTCACCAAGCATTTGTGTGTGTGTGTGAGTGCGCGCACTCGCGTGAGAGAGAGAGAGAGAGTAGGTATTACAACAAAGCAAGAAGACATATAATTACCATGTTATTATCTGTGGGGCCATATCCTACATATATTATGTTGTGATACAAAATAATTTAGGTCCTAACAAACATTTGCGAAGACCTGAAGATGGATTCCATTATGGGCAAGAAGCTCCTAAAGAATGAAAATGAATATTGGGGTCATTTGTTAACATTGTCATTTTCCTGTTTTATGTTTACAAAAATTCTCTCTTTTTTTTTTTGGTAAGAAACAAAAACAAAAAACGTGTTTGTTATACAAAAATGTTTTGAAAAAAATAAATAAAAACAAAATAGAGAAACATGTTTGGTGAGTTGCCGGTGGTGGTGGCCGATGGTGGAGGGTGGATGGATGTGATAACTGGTGGTGGGGGGTGGTCGGACTTCATGGTTGGAGTGTGGCCAAAGGTCACGGGGGAGCTAGAGGGCCACAGAAAGGTTGCCGGAGGTCACGGTGGTGAGCAAGTGGTCGCTGTAGAGTCACCAAAAGGTTGCTAGAGCTCTTTGGCAGCAAGCCGACCAGCGGTGCTTGGCGGCTTGAAGTGGTGGAGGAGAAAAAAGAAAATGAAAACTTGTTTTGAAAATAAGCGAAAACTTCGTTTTCTTCCAAAAATTTTGGAATCATTTCCATTTTTGCGAAAGTGAAAACCATATACCGAACAAGTTTTGTTTCGAGTTTCCAAAAAAAATGAAAACAAAAGCAGAAAACAGGAAACAAAAGCATTAACAAACAACCATAGTAGTCCACTGCTCAACATGTATTAGATAGAGCCTATAAGGAGCACTGTTCAATGATAAAGAGCGAGGTGCAAATTTCCCATTAGCGTCTCGCACAGCCAAGCATATTTAAGCTCTACACTCCATCAAGAATGATGGTTTTTGAAATTTGAATAACCAAAGAAGTACAGTAGTCCCGAATGAATAACTCTAACTGAATGATTCTCCGCAAAGTTAATTGGAATTGGACCTATATATGAGATAATAGGGATAGCGAAAATAGAAGACCTACAAAGTTTGTAATTCAGACAGCCCTTGAATGTCTCCGGACAGCTGACCGGTCAATCCCATGCTTGCTAATGTTCTGGAATTGAAACTTATAGTTAACTTCTAAATTCTCAAAAAGTAGAATAAGCAACTCTCCATAAGCATTAAAGGTAAACCACAATAGGGACTTACATAGATGTTACACGTGAATTGTTGCAACGAATTCCTTCCCAACTGTTGCCACATGGATCTGGCCCAACCCAACTGAGTGGTGTGTTCTTCCAAATTTCTTTGAGAGCGTTTAGAGCAGCAACTGCATCGGACATAAATTAAGTTTACCAGTAATTTTTACGAGGATTAAGGAAAAATCAATGCATGGAACATGAGAACCCAAAAGTGGCCAGTAACCCAAAAACAAAAGGAACAACTAAAAGTATTTGTCTTCTCATATTTTGTTTGACTAAGTATTTTCTAGTTCAAGGTACTATCTTGGTGATTTCTGAATAATCAAGACCATTTGATACTTCAATTAAAGAACTCAAACATCCAAAGCTTGCTTTTGAGTGACCACAAAATAGTATGTAGACTGAGAACTTATCGCTAAACCAGATAAACATGGTAGTTGATCTAAAAATTTTCGCTTTGGAAAGCAGTTAACACAGCAGATATGCAATTATGTATTCTAGAGATTTGATCTACAACTTTATATTGTGGAAATTTTTCCTAGGAAAATTAGATAACTCTAGACAAAATTGCTTCCTAGAAGTAAGTAATTTACAAAGATCTAGTCCTTTGAATGCTGAAAGACTTATGGGAAAACTGTATTCAAACTTTGAATCTCAAATCTACTGTCATTTGGAATCTCAAAAAAGACATCCACTAGTGAAAATCACTCAGAAACAACAAAAGACAAAAAAAAAGGGATATATGTATACATATATATGTTCATTTTCTTTCTTCTCCTTTGATCTAAAAATTTTCGCTTTGGAAAGCAGTTAACACAGCAGATATGCAATTATGTATTCTAGAGATTTGATCTACAACTTTATATTGTGGAAATTTTTCCTAGGAAAATTAGATAACTCTAGACAAAATTGCTTCCTAGAAGTAAGTAATTTACAAAGATCTAGTCCTTTGAATGCTGAAAGACTTATGGGAAAACCGTATTCAAACTTTGAATCTCAAATCTACTGTCATTTGGAATCTCAGAAAAGACATCCACTAGTGAAAATCACTCAGAAACAACAAAAGACAAAAAAAAAAAAAGGGATATATGTATACATATATATGTTCATTTTCTTTCTACTCCTTTTATCAGCAATCAACCTGAGAGTAAATAAGGTATCGTGTGAAGAGAAAGAAACTAGAAAAAGGTCTATCATATGCCATTGTAAATTTAGTGCACGAATTATTTATGTGTTTCTGGAGGATACATTATCTAACAAGCAAAGTTGTATTCTTGTTTGAATTAATCAAGGCACATAAAAACTAAGAACATATATAACTAGTGACATCAATAACCTAAAAACTTGGACACAAGAATTGAACTTACAGTCCAGATTATTCTGTGCTGCTGCAAGTAAAATTTGGACGGAAATAACCAGCAAACAGACCTGAATTCTTGATCCCATTATTCAAGAAAGAACCATATAGACTCTTGAACTAATTGAATTACAATAAACTACTTTGAAACCACTCTTCTTTCATTCAATTCTGCTGGTCATTATTAGAACTCTTCAAGAGAGTTTTTTCCATGATACCCATATACTCTCATTATCTCTCATTCTACGCATCCAACATCCACATGGCTACAGTACAATAGCATGCCACTCATCCTCAAATTTTCCAACTAAATATATCTAATATATCCCAAAAACACTATGAAAGCTGACCTATACACCATGACTATTTTTTACCATCTAAGAAAAAAATGAAAGGACATAACAAGAGCCAGGTGGGCTTATTGGTTTAATTGTTGGCTCCAAAGTCAACAACATTAACTAATTTTAAATATCAACATTTAGTGAGAGGAATCCACTAGTCTTGGTAGGCTTTCAAGATATGAGTCTTTTTCAAGAAGATGAAAGATTTATGTCATTATTTGCAATTCACTGGGCCATGCATGCACAAGTTGATTGTTGATTAGCTTAGTCATTAAGCCCTTATTTCCAAGGAATTATTTTCCTCTTGGATCATTTTCCTTGAATACATTCTGATAATCACAACATGCTAAAGACATTTTAAGGGATCATAAATGTAAAGTGAGTCAGTAAATGAGAGGTGAAGTGTAAATATCAAGATAGTTATATAGACATAATATATCTCTTAGACCATATACTATACCGATTTGCATCATTTTTCGTATTGATTACATACTTCAATTCTTCTTCTTCTTGAACATATTTTGTATTGTTACTTACATTAACTTTTTGTATTGATTACATGCTGCAGTAATTTTCTTTTTGAGTTAGAAGAAGCCCCAAACTTTGGCCTCTCTGGCAATATGTCACAAAATCCACTAGCTACGTGGTCTGTAGTTTCAATGATATCTCAGTAACCATAAAGATGCATACCATCTCAGTAACTACAAATGTGCAGCTTCAACTTTATCACCTTCTCACCGAATGTAATTAAGCAATTTTAATTAGTTTCAAATCCATTCTCTCTTATAAAGGTCTTTCAATGATTGTCTACATTCTGCCACTTTTCTCCCAAAACAACATAAAAGACAACACAATAATTTAGCATCACATTCAGTATTACATTGGTTAGATCCATTCTCCTTTTCCATAATCAATCCAGTTCTTGAACAATTGCATCACAAAAACATTTCTGTAATACTACGCACGTAGAATAACTACTCCGAAAATGAAATGTGTCGACAAGATTTATTCTCAGTGTGCCCACACCACTCCAAGTTTGAATTTACTTCATACATTTTATTTACACTCCAAGTTTGAATTTACATCATACACTTTATTTTCTAGACACAAACCGTGTTTGGATCTTGAATTTGGATAGAAATTTGTATAAGTAATGCAAATGAAGTGAAAAATGTAAATGAAATATAAGTTAATTTTATTTCACGTTTCCCTCCCATTTTCTTTTCCCTCTGCCAAAAAACTTCTTACTTTTGGGAAGAGCTATAAAATATACATTTCAACCAAGAAAACCAATAAATTGCAAAAATTGCAGCACTATGTAAAACAGAGGGAAATAAATATTTTTTTAAAAAAAATTGAATGAAGTAAGAGCTCCATAATTAGGGATCAAAATTGAGAACATAGGGACCATAATAAGATAATTAGGGGAAAACTCTAATGATGAAGAACACTATCATCATATAGGTTTTACAATGAGGGAAATTAACCCCAGGAAAATAAAATAAAATAAAATTCAAAGACAAGACCAATTTACAAAATATTTGAAATATGTGAGAACGTTCAAATAGAGATTGAACCAGACCTTGGAACCATGAGAGTGATACCTCCAAGACTGGCGAAGCTGATCCACATACTTACCTATCTAGTCACGTCAAAGACAACCAGATTGCTACCTCTGCCTGTATCCATTTATTTCAGTTGGCTATCACCCCCTTGTCACAGACAAACTCATAGTAATTTTTCTTATTTTTTATTTTAATTTCACAACTCCAATTAAAGAAATCCAATTTTAGATTTTTTTGTTTTTTTTTGGAACTGGAATATTAGATCATAAATGTAATTATCAAAGGGGGCAAAACAAAACCCTAGCTCCAACCGGTTCCCCTAGCTTTGACCTAGAAATCCATTTGTTGAGAGAAATGTCAAGGAAAAAGTAAATAGAAAGAAAAGGATAGAGAATTGAAACAATTAGGGGTTTAAATCTGGCCCAGCCTGGCCCGGCCCATGTCAGGTCTCGTGGGCTCCTGTCAAAATTTGGACTGTATCGGGCTGGCTCATGGGCCAAAAAATTGGGCCCATGGGTATTCAGGCCTTGGACGGGTTAGTGGACTTGGGCCTGGCCTTGAGCTTGGACGGGCCTGACATATTTTTTTTATTTTTTTTTTAATTTTTTCTACCAAAATTTTATTATTTTTTAACTAAAAAAGACACTGGGTCTCGGCGCAGGTTAGGCCTTGGGCCGGGCCGCGAGTGAACCTTAAGCGGGCCAATAGGCTGGGCCACGGGTGGGGCTAGGCCGGGCTTCAAAATGATAGCCCAGACCCAGGGGCTCGGGCTGGTCGGGCCCGGGCCTAAACGGGCCTGGCCCATGCCAGGCCGCCGGCCATTTTTACACTCCTAGGTACAATTCAAATGTCATGCTATGTTTAACCGAGAAATAGAAAAACAAAAGAGTATAATGTTGTATTTGGTTAGAAAATTTGATGAGTGAAAGGGAAATAGAAAGAGAAAAGAGAGAATGAATAAAATTTGAATTTTAAGTTATCCTTAGTTGAGTTTAAAAAAACAAAAACAAAACAAAACAAAACAAAAAAGTGAATCTAAAATATAGAAAGTGAAATTGTATTTTCTTCTTCTTCTTCTTCTTTTTTCCTTTTGTGCTTTCTATTATAATCAAACAAAAAGTGGAATTGCATTTTCTTTTCTTTTTTCATTTCTCTCAACAAATCCTCTAACTAAACATAGGTTAAGTAAACTCAAAGGACAAAAAATGGGATTGAATTTTCCTTTCATTTTATTTTTTCCTATGTTTTTCATTATAACTGAACAAAAAGTGTGATTACATTTATTTTTTCCTTTTCTTCTCTCATCAAATCTTCTAATTAAACACAGCCTTACTCTACTCTTATTGTTGGTGGGTAAAGAGGTTAAGATAGAGGGAATGAAAGGGTAGTGCGCATTGAGAGGGAGTAAAAGTGGATGGGGGTATCAGGGAGGAAAGCAGGGTGATAGGTGTCAAGAAAGAAAAATGAGGGCGATTGATGACGGGGAAGGAGAGGGGATAGGGCGTTAGGGAAATGAGAGGGGCAATGTCCAGTGAGAGTAAAGGGGAGGGAGTTGATGCCATTAATACTTCGTTTGGATTGAGAGATGAGAAAAGAAAATAAATGAGTAATTTTAAATTCTCAGCAAATCTCACTACTTTTAGTGAGAAACAAAACTTAAGTTTTGTATGATTTAGTCTTCTCACCATTTCTCTTCATTTTTCACCATTGCTTACCTTATTAATCACCCAAATAAGTGATGAGAAATTCTCTCCATTTCTTTTCTTTTCTCAACAAACCCCTCAATCCAAACAGAGTGTAAGGGAAGGGGAAGCAACAACAAAGGTTGCTGGGTTGGGTGGGAAGATGGATGGGGTAGATTTGGTATTTGAATAGGGTTGGAATTAATTGAGGTGTTCAAAAAATAAAAACAAAATTCAATTTTCAAAGCAGAATGACTTAAGAAAATAGGGTGTGCAATAAATTTTTTGAAGTGCATTTAGAGGAATCACAAATGGGTGCGAATTGCAAAAAATGATTTTACTTTTTTCACCATACAAAACATTTTTGCTACACTATTGTTTTTTTCCTCAGAAGGAAATGAACCGTTCTTTAAAATTTTTAAAAAGAGAGATTTGGAGAAAAAAAATTTCAATTTTTTTTATAATGGGTGAAGAAAATTCCAATAAATTTTAATGGAAAAACTTGTTGATTCAATTTTTTTGGAATTTAAAAGGCATATATTCAGCTAATTTAAAATATATTCAGCATTTTCCTTAAAATGATACTTGAGTCAAGAAGGGCGTAGTGTAGGCTGTATAATGGTTTTGTTAAATCAATGTTGTTGTGGTTGTGTTTGGATAAAAGTTTGTGATAAAAAGGGGGGATAGTAAAATTTTACTGTCTGAACATTTTTTTGGGTGGGTATACTGTCTGAACATACTTAACAGTAAAATAAAATTTTCATTTTTAGCCTCAAAATTAAAATTTCACCTTTTGAAAATAATGAATACAATAAAATTTTACTTTTTGAAAACCACCAACACAGTTAAATTTTAATTTTTTTGTTTAAGAATTTTATATTCAATATCGATTTTATTTGATAGATCTCAACTAAACAGTAAAAATTTAATATTTTTTTGTTTAAGAATTTTATATTCAATATTGATCTTATTTGATAAATCTAAACTAAATAATTTTAAAAATACTATTTTTATTAAACATTAAATCAAAAGGATTTTGAAGTTTTGAAATAAGTATAGTTTGGTTAATGAGGTTAAATACTATTTTTATTAAACATTAAATACTATTTTTATTGATCTTTTTCAAACAACGTTGTTTTGGTTTGGAACTTTTTTCTTTTTTTCTTTTTTTTAATAAGAGGTTGTTTGAGAACTACTACAATAGCATATTTTTTAAATTTTTTACATATCGCATCACTTCTCTACTTTTTTACATATCTTTTCTTAAAAAATCAAAAAATATATTTATTTAGCCCTTCCAAACAACTTTTAAGTCTAGGAATTCATACTTGTTCATTTTGATTTATTTATTTATTTATTTATTATTTATTTTTTTTTAAGGGTGGTTGTATAGTAGAAATTAAATTTGTGTGCCAACGGGGATTGGTTGAATTGGTAAGGATCAAACTCTTCGCCTTCAAGGCTTAGGTTCGATTCATGCTGCCAACAATCTTCCTTGGTGGGTGATATATAACTTTAATGTAAGTCCTTGTTGAGGCATGCAACTTGCCCTAGCCCTGGACTAGGGTAGCCTCCCCTCACCTAAACTTTTTCACACCAAAAATAAATAAATTAAATTTGTGTAGTGTAAAGTCTATATATTGAAAAAATCTGAATCATAAAATGATAATTCTTGATAATTTCTAGAAAGTTAAGTCTAGATTCATTGTATTACTTCTTTTTTTATTATTATTAATTATTTGTGTTCTATCCCAGCGTTGGCCAAATCTCTCTTTAAAAATTGGTTTTTATTTTATTTTATTTTTTAAATAATAATTTTCCTTCTAAAAAAATAAATATATGTCTCTTTTCTTATTCATTTTTTATTTAATAAACTTGGCACACTATTGATTGGAGCAAGCACATATCAAATTGATTCTTTATTTGCTTTTACAAATAAATCTAAGAAAGCAATTTCTTTTAATATGTATATTTTATTAGCTTTTTCAATTTTATTTCATTTCTTATAACTTGAGATTTTATGGATTTAAATGTTACGATTGTTTCTATTATAATCATATGTATGATGTAAAAATATTTTTTTAATTTTGGTAATTAATTTTTACACCAAACCAAATTAAATTAAGTTATGTGTTTGTTTGCACCCATTTTTGTAAAATTCCTATTGACAGGTGGATTAATTGGATGATGACACGTGGCAGTGAAGTCAAAATGAAGTCTTTCAGCAGTCAAGGGACAGGTGGCATTAGAGGGGTTGATCACATACATTGAATGGTTCAGATGATGGAGCAGTTATCAAGCTAGGTCCAGATGATGAAGTAGTTATCAAGCTAGGTCATGGGCTTAGTGGGCAACTTGCAAGAAAAGTCATATACAGAATGGAAGTTTTTCTCTGTCGATGGAATGTCCAAAGGACTGAGGGACACGTGGCAACATGAAGGAGAGGTGGTTCGACAGATAGAAAGGAAGAATTGGCGAAGTTCAAGGGTTGGAAAGTGAGAGAGCAATTGCAGTAGTTGTGCAGTAGCAATTGCAGGATTTAGGGGAATCATGCAATCATGTGCCAGAGAAAAATGGGGGGGTATAAAAGCAGAAGGTGCCAAAAGGGGAAAAGACATCAACAACAATACAACAACTTAGTTCTATCTTAGGAGTAGCTTTATCTAAATTTAGTAGTAGTTTCTCTTTGTAATTTGTAATCTTTGTAAACATTGGTGGTTTCATCTTGAAATCATCTTTAGTTTGCTTTGTTTATCTTATTTGATCTTGCTGATTGTAACTTTTGTTCCAAAGAAATCTTTGTACATTCAAGGCATTTGAATCAAAATACACAATCGCTTGATTAGTTTGTTCAATTGTTTGTTTAAATTGTTGTTCAAATCCTGTCGATTGGGAGTGAGCATAATTTTTACTAACAGTGTCTCAAATTGACATGACTCAATAACTAGTCTTAGTTTTGTACCTTTTTAGCCAAAATCTTGACTCTACCACTACCGTCAACAATTGAAAGTAGTGATCTTACGATTATTTAGAGTTATAGAGAATCATACATAAAATACAAAAGAGAAATTGATGTAAAGTTCGAAATAAATGATATTAGAGTTTGGTCACTCAATAGTCTCTAAGAAAGTAAGAACAGATCATGTCCCACTTAATGTAAAATTTTAGTGTGTTAACATTAATTTTCAGTATTTTCATAAATTTTACTTGGTGATGATAACAGTGATATTATGATTTTAGTGGTGGTTGTGAAATTTCACATTTAAAAATACTAGCTGTAAAATTGTATTGTACTATGTTAATCTTAATTTGAACAATAGAATTTCACTATGTTTTTTTTTTTTTAGAATTTCATAAGTAATTTTAATAGATCTCAATAAAAGGATTCTAATCAAATTTATTTGAAATGGACAATTGTATCAAACATCATAAGATTTTAAAGTTTAAAAATAAATTAAGAATATTTTGATCTACCGCACATTCTTCGTTTGTTCACTATGTTTTTTTTTTTTAGAATTTCATAAGTAATTTTAGTAGATCTCAATAAAAGGATTCTAATCAAATTTATTTGAAATGGACAATTGTATCAAGCATTATAAGATTTTAAAGTTTAAAAATAAATTAAGAATATTTTGATCTACCGCACATTCTTCGTTTGTACTTTGTGGTTGGTGTAACAAAGTTAGAAACTTCCGCCAAATGTCTCTTTAATTTATTAAAAGATAAGTGTAATTTATTGAACACACACAGGAAAATGAGTTTTCTTCATAAATTAGTGTCCATCATATGACCTTAATCTTGTTAATACAAAATTTATAACAATAAGGATACATAATTTATAACGATACGTTGTTTATAAATATAATAAACATGCCAACAAGGGTAATATTATAATAGGAGGAATTAGATCACAGTAGGACAGAGGAAAAAATTATAAAAATATGTGAGGTGCAAGCGATTTTATAATGGGGTGTAAGTGAGAAGCTGTGGGGTGCAAATGTCACTTGCACTTTACAATGTTTGTGTAGAAATTTTTTTTTGTCCCACCGGGATGTAATTCCACCTATTATAATTAGGGTGATCGTGGATCGAGAATTAGGCAGATTGAAAAAAATCAATATGCATCTATCCATTAGTTTGACGGATGCGAATTGAGCGAGCCGTGCAAGTTGGTGGATGGATGCAATTGGTTTGGCAATTTGAACTTTATAAATTTTGAACATTTTTTTTGAATTATGATTCATAACCTTTACAATCTCCAATAACTAGTAATCTAAAAAAATATATATATTATTTGTCTATAATGGGTCATGGCACCACACATGCATATTTTGGACGTATTATTTTTCATTTTCACAAAAATATATATGTTAGGATTTTAATCCTAAATGTTTTAGTGTTTTGGCAATACCTCTCTTAACAAAATTTAAAATTATTTGTGTTGAGTCAAAGTAAAATGTGAAGAGAAGATTTAGACTCAAGATTGTCAAAGATTTGAAGATAATGGTGATGAATCTTTAGAAATTGAAAATGGAAATCTTGGGATGCTAAATGAGGCCGTTTGTCTCAGCCTTTTGGTGGCAACACATGGGTGAAGAAATAGAGCTTCACACGTGGAAATTCTTTGTGAATTTTGTTGAATCTTTATTTGATGACTAGCATGAGCATAAGTCATCCCCCTGGCTATTTTGTTTAGTATCACTCACAGCTTTTTCTAAGTATTCTCTCATAAGCTCTTCTGAATATTTCCAATCTTAAGAGAGTATATGTCTTTGAGAGATTTATTTTTGAGAGAAAAACATTTTGGGAGAGTTTATTTTTGAGAGAGAACTTGTAGTGAAGATTATTTGTATCTCTTATTTCCCTGATGATTCATTAGTCTTAGGTGTTTCAGGCTAATAATCAAGTCTTTGTAAAAGTTCTTCACGTCTTACAAAAGTGAACTTTCTTGATGAATTCTAAGATTGTAAATTTCGGTGGATTTCGAAATCATTGGCTTCGTGGCAATTCAACAACTGTAATGGATATCTAGTGGAGATTGTGAAGGTACTTGTAGATTGAGCAAAGTTGTTTGCCGGTTAGTGGACTGGTGTGCCTGGATTGGCCTTTGTAAGATACTATTCTTTCTTTCATTGTGGATTACTCATCTGGCCAAGGGCCCGTGGTTTTTTATCACAAGTTGGTGATTTCCAATCGTGATTTTTCCACGTAAAAAATATCTTGTGTTGTGGATTGTTTTTCTCTTTCTCTCTCTATTTCTCTATATTGATCATGGTTGCATTCCAGTGTCAGTGGCCCTGTGGCTGGAGAGGCTCTAGAGAGACTTTCTGTGGAGAAATGGTGGCGACGAATTCAGGTATCACTTGGTTAATTGGGGGAGGATTTGTCAATCTAAGCAAACAGGGGGTTTGGGGGTTCAGCGGTTGGTGACTTTTAATCAGGTGTTGTTAGGGAAGTGGTTGTGGTGTTTTGCTTCGGAGCTGGATCGATTTTGGTGAAGGGTGATTGCTTCTAAGCTTGGTTTGGGTAGGGGGGATTGGATTACTAGGGATGTGACTGGTACCCATGATTGTGGGTTGTGGAAAGGGATTTGGCTGGGAATGGTGGAGTTTTGGAGGTGGGTAGGATTTCGGGTGGGGGACGGGGTGAGGGTGAGGTTTTGGAAGGATAGATGGTGTGGAGAGATTTCATTGGCGATTCGGTTCCCTTTGATCTTCACCATTGTGGTTGATCGGGAGGCTACGGTGGCGTCTTATTTGGGGGGAGGGGGTGTGGTGGTTTGGGATATTCACTTGCGACGGCAGGTGCAAGATTGGGAGGTGACTCAATTGGTGGAGTTGTGGGGTTTCTTGTATGGTTTGGGTCTTACTAGGGTGGGGTCCGATGCTGTGGTGTGGACTAGGGTGGGGGCTAAGGGTCAGTTCACAGTTTCTTCATTCTATAGGGGTTTAGTTGGGGAGTGTGGTGGGATGTTTCTTTGGAAGAGGTGTGGGTGTCGGGCATCCCGTCTAAGGTGGCTTTATTATGTGGACAACTGCTTTGCGGTAGAATTTTACTTTGGATAATTTGATCAGGCGTGGGCATGTGTTAGTGAATCGATGCAGTATGTATTGTGCTGGTGCGGAGTCGGTGGATTTTTTGTTTTTGCAGTGTCTGGTAGCCTCGCGATTATGGGGTTTTATTTTCTCACTCTTTGGGGTTGTTTGGGTTCAACCTCGAGGGGTGTTGCATATGCTTTGGGCTTGGCAGGGTGCTCGGATTGGTTGTCGACGGAGGCGGGTGTGGGTCTTGGTGCCGTTTTGCTTGATGTGGCTTGTATGGTTGGAGCGTAATAAACACACTTTTCTTGAGGTTTCTCATGATGTCCCTTGGTTACAGAATCGACTTATTGTAGTTCTGTATAGTTGGTTGGAGAAAATAGTTGATCCTGATTTGTTTGCTTTTTTAGATTTTCTAGATGATATAATTGGGTAGTGCTCAATATCAGGTTTCCCTTATGGAATTCCATTTTGTATTTGTTGCATCATCTTGATGCTTTTCTAATAAATTGCTTTATTTATCCCCGAAAAAAAAATAATACTAATTAGATTGCCTAAATTAATAATCACGTTAACACGGGACGCATCTAGTTTTTCTAAAAGAGTTTTCCGCACAAATCTAGATTTTTCAATATATTTTATTATTTATACTATATATTGTTACTTGTTAGCTGTTTCTTTTTCTTTTTTTATTTGAACTTCATCTACAGGTGGATCGGGTTTATGGGGGTGCAGAATAGTTGATCTGCTATCTAAACCGTATTTGCAGATTTTGAAATATTTCATTCGTATCCATCCGCCGAAAGACAAGCACTCACCCAAAATCAATTGGGTTGAGTCAATTTGGTCGGGTTGGCCAGGTTGAATGGATCCATGATCACCCCTAATTATAATATACACTTCTTGAAGGGATACATCATATGCAAGTTATGAGACTTTATGATACTTATATTGTGAAGTGTCATAACCAAATTATTTTATGTCATAATTTAATGAATCATAACAAAGCAGTTTTTAGGCATAACTTCTTCGTTCATAACCAAAATTATAACCACAATAGCTCATAACTAATACCATAATGTGTCATAATCAAATCATAAATAACACCATAATGGATCGTAACTAAACACTACTTGAAGTGTAACCAAAATAACAATCGCAATAGGTCATAACTAAAGTTATATAACCAATACTATAATAAGTCATAACCAAGTCATAATCAACACTACAATGAGTCATAACCAAATACTACAAATGTTATAACTAACGGTATATGATACACCTAATTTTTGTGGTGTTCAATATAGAATTTCCCTGGAAACTACCAAACAAAATCTATAATGACACATAATTTATAACCATATCCATGTCTGAAAGAAAAAGGCAAATATTATCATCATGCAAACTAACAAACATTGCCAGCAAACTTACAACCAAGAAGAACATGGGTGAGAATCCAAGCCTCTCTTGAAATCTACTAATTGTAGCATATATAGAATTCTCATCAGAATGAATCAGTAAATCACATTTTCTTTTCTCAATACAGCAGAAAATTGAGGGATGATTGCTTAGAACAGAAAATAGTAGCTTATTTATAGAAAAATCACATGACTTCGCCTACTATACACACAATTTGTACATCAGTATTTTGATTTCGTTTCACTTTTCCCTTCTTCCCTTCTTTATAGTCTACCAGACAAGCAACAAGCCTAAGACCGTCCAACAAAAGAAAGAAAAGCCAATAATTCATTACAATACATAGTTTGGTTCTTCCCACATGGTACAAACATCACAAGGCTCACATGTTCTACACGAAAATGCTCAATAAGACTTACCGTGGCACTAACTTTTAACGTGCCAAGGCCCTGATATAAATACTGAGGCTTGCTTCGCTACAAGGATGGTTGCTAGTCCCTTCAAAACCAACTGAAGTGGACACCGAGTCAGCAGTAGGGTTCCAACCGGCAATTTGCATGATGTTCTCAATCTCTTTTACCACCTCACCCATTGTAGGCCTCGCAGCTCCTTCTTCTTCGACACACCTCATTGCCAAATCCAGAAATTTCTCTAAACCTTTCAGTGCGGTGCCCAAAATGTTTGGATCGAGAATCTCATGAAGATCGTATAGATCCTTTGCCTTGTCCATTTTTTGCCTCGCCTCTAGTACAATGTATTTGCCTTTCTCAATCGGCTGTTTCGCAGTTATCAGCTCAATCATTAGCACTCCAAAGGCATAAACGTCACTCTTCTCAGTCAACTGTTGGGTCATGCAATATTCAGGATCCAAGTAGCCCTATACCGATAAAAAAAAATTCTGCTTTTTAATCCAAAATACTAAACAATATCATGGAGCTTCAAAGAACTCAAACTATTATCCTCCGGGGTCCACTCCATAAATTTGTTTAAGATATTTTTTTTTAATCAAAGATAAAAGGGAAAATATCAATAAAACGGGAAGTAGAAAAAGTAATTGCAAATTCATGAAAGTACAACTGATTTCCATTTTTTGATATTTTTCCCAAGATAAAATGATGTTCATCCCTTTTTACAATGAATGAGACATCCCATGAAGAACAGAACAGCAAGAAGAGGAAGAAAGGCCACAGCCTAAAAAATACTCTCAATAATATGACTCCAAACTAAGAACCCTAAAATGAATTAGGAAAACAAATCCTATTAGTATTTGGAAACTAAATCAATACTTACTTAGTCCCTAACTAAATAATAATAATAATAATAGAAAGCTACCAATTACATTTATTGTACCAAAAAGAGTTCAGACCCACAGGTTTCACCCTGGTTTCTGATAAGTGCTTGAATGTTTACATTTAAGCCCCCCCTAAAGTGCATTGTTAAGTTTTCAATCCTAGTTATTTGATGTATTCTAATGCACTTTTGAATTTTTTTGTAGGTGTCTGAGCTCATGATGCTAAGATGCTATTAATTTGGAGATTTTGAAAGTTTGATGGAACATACAATTGAAGCCCAGAGTCTGAGTGCTTGAGCACTTACATTGCTGAAGAGAAAAAGATTCAGCGTCCGTGTGATTGGACGCGACGTGCTCTAGCACAACCTGTTATGCATTTTATTATTTTTAGGATTGTTTTTAGCACATATAAAAAGCGAAGCTAGTAGTTTCTTTTGAAAGGGGAGGATTTTGGGGCCTCAAGTATTGGGGAGGCATAACAGAGAAGAAAGAGAGAGATCCAGAGAGCTTTTCATGGAGATTCAATTGAAAACTTTGGATTCCTCTACCATGAGTGGCTAGACTTTCCATCTTAGGGGTTGATGAGACCCCAATCAAGTAATTAAGGGTTTGTATTTTCTGCATAGATTTGTAGAGGACACTGTATGGTGGTGTCATAACGTTGTAGAGGACACTGTATGGTGATGTCATAACGGTGTAGAGGACACTGGATGGCGGTGTCAGACCGATGTAGAAGACAGTTTATGGGGTCATGTCGGACCGTTGTAGCAGACAATTTATGGGGTCATGTCGGACCGTTGTAGCAGACAATGTTGTGACAATTGTTGTGACAGTTTACGGAGTCTTGCCGGACCCTTGTAGAAAAATGTCGGGACAGTTTACAGAGTCTTGTCGGACCCATGAAGGAGCTAACCGGAATCAATGTCGGGACAGTTTACAGAGTCTTGTCGGACCCTTGAAAGGTGTGCCCAATTTTTCAAAAAGCGTGCCATCAAAAGGCGTGCCCAATCCATAAAAAGGCGTGCCATCAAAAGGCGCGCCCATGTCATAAAAAGATGTGTCGGACATGTTGGCGAGGCATGTGAGCGCCTTGGCTTGCGCGCCCGTGTTGTCGTCTGTCGGCAAGTGGCGCGCGATGCGCGGATCGGCCCTGGCTATTTAAACCAAGGGTGAAGCGGAGGCTGTGCATACCAGTCTGAAACCGCTGAAACCAATCCGTCTCTGAAAAAAAAAACTCTGCCTCTTCGGAGAGAGAGATACTCTGTAACACTCTGTTTTCTGAGAGCGATTCCTGAGAGAGACACTCTGTAACACTCTGTTGTCCAGAAAATGGCTTCGTCTTCCCGTGGTCTCCTCAGTCTCTTTCCAGACCTTAACGAGTCAACAAGAGAGATAACTGGTGCGGGGACCAGTGAACCTCAACCAAGCGCCCCAGGGTTTGCTCCGTTGAACTTTCCTATGCGGTCGGTGGAGCAAAAAATGGCAGTGCAAACTGACATTGAAGCCAATCAGTATACTTTGAAGTCCTGTGTGGAGACGATGACGGCAGTCACAAACTTGCTATCTTCTTAGAGGAGGCACACCATCAATACCTGAAAATGATTTTTTGCGAAGGGATGAGCACTAGGCCCAGTAAAGATAATCTTAACTAAATAAGTAAAGCATCGAGTATGCATATGATTATGGATGCCAATGCACATGTTGTTTCAATGATAGGACCATTTTCGAAAAACATAAGATTTTCCAAATGACTTACCAATTCCACGACTTTCATAAACCAAAAGAGTATTTATCAATTCGAAAACACAATGAATCCTATGTATGTATCTGCCAGTAGTCTATCAAAGAACTACCAACACCACCTCCACTTTACACTGTTGCTTTAGCAGAATTTGCTTGCCCATTGCTAAATTTAATGTATTTGGTGCTATGCTCAACATGGTTGCACTGTCTCCTATCAAACCCATTGAGTTGTAATTCATGGAAGGGATGAAATGATTTTTTGTATTGCCCATACTATTCATATTCCATGACTATCATGTCGTAAGAGACACTATCCAACTCTGGCATCTCATCAAAGAGTTTTCTTGCATCATCTATGCTGTCATTCTTCGAGTAGAAATACAGTAAGGCATTTCCCAAAAACACATTCTAAACAAAAGGCACATAGCACCGTCGCAAAAGTAAAATTGGTTATGTTTTTTTTTTTTTTTTTTTTTTTTAGAATAAAGAAAAAAAATAAATAAATAAAGAAATGAGTGTGTGACTCGGTGGAAAATGTGATGATAATGTTTTGTGGGTGGTGGAAAAAAAGTAAAGTGAGAGAGAAATTATTATAAACTTCTTTTGAGGAGTGAGCTGATGGTTATTATTATAACTGGAAGATTGGATCAAATTGCCAAGGGCGCACACCCTTTTCCAGCAGTTCGCACGTGGATTCTGGGTGCACGAACCCATATACCTTTATTCTCACTTTGGGTTTATTATGAGCTTCGTTCTCACTAACTTCAAAACCCTGTGAAACTACTCGCACTGTCTGAGCAGAGAGAAGAGAGCAATAATGGAGGCCAACGGAGGTGAGTCGGCTCGAATTCTCCGCGAAATTGAGAATTTGAAGTCTGCGAAGAGTGAAATCGAGCGCCGAATATCAGATCTCGAAGCTCAATCTTCGTGATGTCGATGAAAAAGGAGAGATTGAAGCCCCAAGAGGAGAAGACTGAGGAGGATCGATCTAAGGTCGACGATCTGCGAGTCTCGCCGATGAGCGTTGGCAATCTCAAGGAGCTGATCGATGAGAATCACGCCATCGTGTCGTCGTCGGTGGGGCCGGAGTACTATGTCGGGATTTTGTCGTTCGTTGACAAGGATCAGCTCGAGCCTGGTTGCGCGATTTTGATGCATAATAAGGTTCTTTCTGTTGTTGGGCTTCTTCAAGATGAAGTCGATTCCATGGTGTCTGTCATGAAGGTTGAAAAGGCTCCTTTGGAATCATATGCTGATATAGGTGGGTTGGATGCTCAGATACAGGAAATCAAAGAAGCAGTTGAACTCCCTCTGACACACCCTGAACTATCTGAGAAAGTGAAGTTAGTATCGTTGGGTTTGTCCGGCGGACGGCTAAGGTGAGGTTGCCGCCCGCCGGTGAAGCGAAAAAATATTAGGTTCTAAACCTGCTCTGATACCATGTAAAAATAAATTGATGTATATAGAAATAGAGAGAATGAATTATGTATTATATATTGATGTATTGATATTGTTTCTTCTGTCTATTACAAATGGTTCCTTATATAGATGTAGGTGTAGTGGATGGTGTGTAGTGGATGGTGATAGTGGTGTAGTGGGTTAGGTTTAGTGGAGTAGGTGAGGTGGTATAAATTGATGTATATAGAAATAGAGAGAATGAATTATGTATTATTTATTGATGTATTGATATTGTTTCTTCTGTCTATTACAAATGGTTCCTTATATAGATGTAGGTGTAGTGGATGGTGTGTAGTGGATGGTGATAGTGGTGTAGTGGGTTAGGTTTAGTGGAGTAGGTGAGGTGGTAGTGGTGGTAGGTGATGGTAAATTCTAACAGGGGAGGATTTTGGGGCCTCAAGTATTGGGGAGGCATAATAGAGAAGAAAGAGAGAGATCCAGAGAGCTTTTCATGGAGATTCAATTGAAAACTTTGGATTCCTCTACCATGAGTGGCTAGACTTTCCATCTTAGGGGTTGATGAGACCCCAATCAAGTAATTAAGGGTTTATATTTTTTGCATAGATTTGATTTATTATGATGATGATTGTATAACATTTATAGATTTTCATGCAAACAAGTTCTTTATTCAAATTCGTATGTATTTAAATTTTGTGATTTTAAATACATAGTTATATAATGATATTTCTTTGCATATACTGAAATCATCGAATGAGTCATACTTAGGGAAGATAAGGCATACCTATGACCGTAGTTTAGCATAGGCGCTTTGTGCCAACCGATGATGATTCATGCTCGTGATTTGAATGTATGAATATTCTTGAAGATATTATTGGGGCTTGTAACCAAAATACAACATTATCCTTGTAAGAGTGATTTTTCATGAAGTGAATCAATAAATCCTAGTTAGATAGCTGTCTGGTGAGAAGGGTGAGTGCTTCAGGGGGGAAGGGGATGGAGGTGTCGCGTCTGACAGAGTGGGCAAATCGCACGTGGAAGATTAATGGGGGAGTACAGGTGACGTTGATTGGTGGACAATGTGTTGCTCGCCTTTCCGTCGAGGGTTGACGCTTCTCGGATCCTCGCCGACCACTGGGTCGTGGAAGGGAGACCTCTGCTACTTGAATGGTGGTCACCGATGGCTTTGTGTGTACAGAGTAAACATGCCTCTTCATCTCTGAGTCACTGGGTTCAAATGTTGGGTCTTCCAATGCATCTTCGTGGAGAGCAGGTTTTCAAGAGATCGGCGATCGTTGTGGTGGCTTTCTAGAGGTTGACGATGAGTCTCTCTAGCTGTGGAGACGCTCGGCTATGTTCGCATAAAGGTTTGAGGTTCAAAGAGAGGTGCTCCGGCAAAGGTATGTGTTCAGTGGGGGCAGTGGCAC